AGTCCATCCAGACCCAGCTAAACCTTTCGTCGTAGAGGTGGACGCATCTGAGGTGGGGGCAGGGGCGGTCCTATCTCAACGCGGCCCGGACTCCAAGCTTCATCCCTGTGCCTATTTCTCCCGTAAATTCACGCCGACCCAGACTAATTACAGAGTGGGGGACAGGGAGCTCCTAGCTATTAAATGGGCACTGGAGGAGTGGTGGCAGTGGCTATTGGGTGCCCCGGAACTGTTTACCATCTGGATAGATCACCAAAATTTCATCCACATCCAGAATGCTCGCCAGCTCAATCCCCGCCAAGCCCGTTGGGCTCTATTCTTTGAGTCTTTCCACTTCCACCTGGCTTATCGCCCTAGTGCCAAGAATCTGAAGGCGGACGCCCTTTCCCGCCCTCACGCCCAGTCTGCACCAGTCAGGGAACCGCCACCCATTTTGCCAGCCCAGAGGTTCGTCGCGGTCCTTCACTGGCCGGTGGAGGACGCTATCCGAGCTGCTCTGCCTGCCGAGCCCACGCCCGCTGACACGCCCTCCAACCGACTGTATGTACCGTCCTCCTGCCGGTCCGAAGCCCTAGCATGGGGGCATGCCTCTCGCTCGGCTGGTCACCAAGGGGAGACCCAGACCCTCCAGTTCCTACGACGGGCCCTGTGGTGGCCCTCCATGGCCAAGGATGTCCAGGAATACGTGGCCGCCTATCCCACTTGCGCCCTTTCCAAGACTCCAAACCAACCCCCGGCTGGAGACCTTCACCCTCTTCCTGTTCCACACCGGTCATGGTCCCACATAGGCCTGGACTTTGTTACGGGGTTGCCTCCCGTCAACCAGCTTGACACTGTCCTAACCGTCGTGGACAGATTTTCCAAAGCGGTCCACCTGGTGGCTCTTCCCGGCCTGCCCACCGCCAAGCAGATGGCAGAGATCCTCTTGGAGCAGGTTGTACGTCTCCATGGCTTCCCTCAAGACATCGTTTCCGACAGGGGGCCCCAGTTCATGTCCAGGTTCTGGAGAGCCTTTTGCCGGCTGGTTGGTGCCAGTAGCAGCCTCTCGTCTGGCTACCACCCCCAAACCAATGGACAGGCCGAGCGCGCCAACCAGCAACTCGGTCGGTACCTACGCTGCTTTGCCTCTTCCCAACCAAACACATGGCCCAAACATCTCTTGTGGACGGAGATGTCCCATAACCTCCACGTCTCCTCGGCTACTGGTCACTCCCCGTTCGAGCTGTGCTATGGGTAGCACCCCCCTCTGTTTCTTCACCAGGAACCGGAGACTGAGGTCCCTGCGTCACGGACCCTGGTTTGACGTTGCCGCCTCACCTGGATCCATGCTCGGGCGGCCATCAGGCGAGCCAACACAGAGTACGCTCGCCAGCATAAACGCCGCCATTGGACAGGCCCGACTTTTCAGCCCGGCGATAACGTATGGGTGTCTACCCGTAACATACGTCTGCCCGCTGGCACCAGGAAGCTCAGCCCATGGTTTCTGGGTCCTTACCCTGTGTAGAGGGTCATTAACCCTGTGGCATATCGCATCCGCCTGCCCAAGCCTCTCAAGGTTCACCCCGTCTTCCACGTCTCCCAGCTGAGGCCGGTACGAACGTCTCCTCTCGCTCCCCCTCCGGACCCTGAACTGCAGCCTCGTGGGGTTGGCGAGGATGGTGTTTTTGCTGTGCGCCGCCTGCTGGATGCTCATCGCCGTGGCAGGGGTTGGCAATACCTGGTGGACTGGGCGGATTACGGGCCGGAGGAACGCTCCTGGGAGCCGCCGAGGGTGATCCTGGACCCCTCTCTCATCACAGACTTCTGGGCTTGCCGCTCTGGGACTTCTGGGGCCGTCCCTCGGGTGGGGGGTCCTGTCACGCAGTCTCCCTCACAACCATTGACCTCCTCAAGGGAGGAACCGCAGAGCCGCTCAGACCATCCGAACTCCATTACCAAACATCCCCAGTGCCAGTCTTCCGGTTCACGTCACCCGCCAAGTCTACTTATGAAAGTGCCGCACAACGCCAAATCACTCAGTCATCATTCTCACCGAACCAAACTCAGATTCCAGACCAGATCGTCTCAGATCACTCAGCCTATGCAAACCAGATCAGCCAGATCTAAGAGGCCTGACAATTTTTAGAAGTCAGCCCTGTGCTGTGGGAACCGCCATGCTCAGCTGTTTCTTCATACCGCTGCGTACCCGGCTCCTAGATTAAACAGCGTGCTCACTCAACCTGGCGTCAGTCACTCTGCACTTGGGTTAAGAAGCCACGCCACATCTCCAACTCTCGCTCAGCTCGAGTCAGCCATTACACCAAGATCCATAAGTACATCAAGGACAAGGCTCCTACATATGACGTGCTTATTGAATGTCTCAGACAATGGCAAACAGATGAGGAGACACTGGAAATACCATGATGGGAGGACACATGGGATGGACCACCGACAGAAAACTGAAGAGGCTGATGTCAAGAAATCCTACCAATTGCTAGAAAGAGCAGGTCTGAAGGACAGCAGAGAGGCACTCATCATTGCTGCACAGGAACAGGCCTTGAATATCAGAGCAACAGAGGCCAAGATCTACCACACCTGACAAGACCCAAGGTGTAGGCTAGAGGCCCCTGAGACAATCCACCAAATACACTCAACCAAAATATAAACGCAACACCTTTGTTTCTGCTCTGATTTTTCATGAGATGGACTTAAAGATCTAAAATTCATTCCAGATACACAATATTACCATTTCTCTCAAACATTGCTCACAAATCAGTCTAAATGTGTGATAGTGAGCACTTCTGCTTTGCTGAGATAATCCATCCCACCTCACAGGTGTGCCACATCAAGATGCTGATCCAACATCATGAGTAGTGCACAGGTGTACCTTATACTGCCCACAATAAAAGGCCACCCTGGAATGTGCAGTTTTGTCTCACAGCAAAATGCCACAGATGCCACAAGCATTGAGGGAGAGTGCAATTGGCATGCTGACAACAGGAATGTCAACCAGATCTGTTGCTTGTGCATTGAATGTTCATTTCTCCACCATAAGCCATCTCCAAAGGAATTTCAGAGAATATGGCAGTACATCCAACCAGCCTCACAACCGCAGATGACGTGTAACCACACCAGCCCAGGACCGCCACATCCAGCAGGTTCACCTCCAAGATTGTCTGAGACCAGCCACCCAGACAGCTGCTGAAACCATTGGTTTGCATTACCAAACAATTTCTGCACAAACTGTCAGAAACCGTCTCAGGGAAGCTCAACTGTGTGCATCGTCATCCTCATCAGGGTCTTGACCTGACTCCAGCTCGTCGCCATAACAGACTTGAGTGGGCAAATGCTCACATTCGATGGTGTCTGGCACGTTGGAGAGGTGTTCTCTTCACGGATGAATCTTGGTTTACATTTTTCAGGGCAGATGGCAGACAGCGTGTGTGGCATCGTGTGGGTGAGCACTTTGCTGATGTCAGTGTTGTGGATCGAGTGGCCCATGGTGGTGGTGGGGTTATGGTATGGGCAGGCATCTGTTATGGACGAAGAACACAGGTGCATTTTATTGATGGCATTTTGAATGCACAGAGATACCGTGATGAGATCCTGATGCCCATTGTTGTGCCACACATCCACGAACATCACCTCATGTTTCAGCAAGATAATGCATGGCCCCATGTTGCAAGGATGTCTACACAATTCTTGGAAGCTGAAAATGTCCCAGTTCTTTCATGGCCAGCATACTCGCCGGACATGTCACCCGCTGAGCATGTTTGGGATGTGCTTGACCGGCGTATACGACAGCATGTACCAGTTCCCACTAATATCCAACAACTTCGCACGGCCATTGAACAGTAGTGGACCAACATTCCACAGGCCACAATTGACAATATGATCAACTTCATGCAAAGAAGATGTGTTGCACTGCATGAGGCAAATGGTGGTCACACCAGATACTGACTGGTTCTGAGTCCCCAGACCCCCAATAAAGCAAAAAAAAAAAACTGCACATTCCAGGGTGGCCTTTTATTGTGGGCAGTATAAGGTACACCTGTGCACTAATCATGATGTCGGATCAGCATCTTGATGTGACACACCTGTGAGGTGGGATGGATTATCTCAGCAAAGCACAAGTGCTCACTATCACACATTTAGACTGATTTGTGAACAATGTTCTTTAAGCCCTTCTCATGAAAAATCGGAGCAGAAACAAAGGTGTTGCATTTATATTTTTGTTGAATGTAACTGCAGGGTGTAAGATGCTGGCAGGGAAAGCATATGTGGGGAACATCTGTGCAGAGTATGGACAGGAAGCCCCAAGGTCAAAGTCGGTAACATCCCCTGAGGTGGAGGAGAACGAAAGAGCCAAGCTCCTGTGGCACTCCCAGATCCAGACCAACCAAAAGGTGATGGTGAACCAACCAGAGATTGTGGTGGTGGACAAACAACAGAGGACAGCCGTTGTGGTTGATATGGCAATACCAAATGATGCAACATCAGGAAAAAGGAACATGAGAGACTAGAGAAGTACCAGGGCCTCAAGGAAGAACTTGAGAAAGCCTAGAGTGAAGACATTGGTGGTGCCCGTGGTCATCAGGGCACTCGGACCAGTAACCCCCATGGAGGAGTGGCTAAAGCAGATCCCAGGAAAAACATCAGACATCTCAGTCCAGAAAAGAGCAGTTCTAGGAACAGCTGAGATACTGCAGAACCCTCAATTTCCCAGGCCTCTGGTAGAGGTCCCGAGCTTGGAAGGATGAGACCACCGCAGAGGGTGAGATGGGAATTTATCTTTTTACATATATATTTACATACATACATAAAGTTTCCACACATCACTTATTTCCTAAGTACCAAACTCAATAGCCAAAAAACACCAAAAATCTTTTTGAAAGGAGAAAAATGTGACTGATTTGTTTTGAAAAACTAACGTCCAAAAGTAGCTTATGGAAACCCAGCCAGTACTTTAACACTAGTAAAGATTTGTGTATTTTGTGAATGTGAAGAGTTCATCTACTCACCCCTGCCTGTTGAGGATGCTCTGAGCCTGCTGCTCTATGAACAGATCTCCAGGTGAGATACCGTAGCGCGTGGATGGTAAGGATGCTCTGCGGGCCGTGCGAGGAGAGCTAGGCACCGCTGCAATGCTGTAGTCCCTGGTGGAGGCGGGGCTTGGATCCTGATGGGACAGGTGTGGTTTTGCTTGTGGCTGCTGATGGTGATGATGCTCCTGGACTCTGGATCTGGATGTAACTGAGCGCTCCTGAGCTGAACCACGTCGATAGTTCTCCATGTTCATCGCTCTCTCCTGCTCTGAAAACCTGCCAGGCCTTTCTTTAGTTGGAGGAGGGGCTTGATGTGAGTGGGCGGGGCTTGTTTTCTCTGCAGGTGCAAGATCTGGGTGTGTCGTCATGTAAACCCTGCCCACTCCAGAGCGGTATGGTACTCTTGGTTCCAGACTCTGACTGTGTTGCTCTGGATCTGTTCTTTCTTGGTCTCGCCTTGTGGCGGTTTGTCGTTCTGAGATCCCCGGATCTCGTCTGGATCGATATCGAGGTGTGAAATCGGCTTCCGCCTCCTGATCCAGGAGGATACCGTAACGTTCCGACAGCTGGCGGCGACGCTCAGCCTTGTAGCGGGCGATACGTTCAGCCTTGGAGCTGAGGCTGGTGGGCTCGGCAGGACCGGTTGTGGGTGTGGAGGAAGTGGACAATGTTACGGGATCAACATAAACCTCAACTGGTTCTGGGTGACCGGTGCTGACACCACTTTTAACATGAGGGGTTCTGTCTGGAGATGTCACCTTCTTCTGCGGTGGTTCCATCTCTTCTCTGCTGTAGCGCTTCACTGTGGTAAACAATGGGAAACGTCAGTGTGTACTACGATCGGCCATTAGTCACATTTTAACACATCATTTTGGTCCCACAAGTAAAACTGGGCCTATTTTAACAAGAAATATTTACTTCCATGTAACAGGTGTATCTGTTTCAGGTGAGGAAGGGGGTGGTCACATGGTGATTCTTTAGTCATGTGACCGTTTGATGAAACATCTCAAAAGCCTTAATGTGTATGTTTGCATATATATGAATACACATATGTATTTGTAACAACATTTTTGTATATTTACCAGAGGTGTGGACTCGAGTCCCATGACTTGGACCCGAGTCAGACTCAATTAATTATTTAATGACTTCTGACTTGACTTGATAAAATCTGTAAAGACTTACGACTTGACTCGGACTTTAACACCAATAACTTGTGACTTGATTCGACTTGCATCTGTTGACTTGATGATGACTTGAGCATATTTGATATTTTAGCACAAAAGTGGCACGACATGGACAAGAATCATAAATCATTCTTCGTTCTGGGTTTGATCTTGTACTGCTAAATGCACCAGCACTTTGTTTAGAATCAGTTTCAGTTGCACTTCCTGCTTGTTTGAGCAAATAAATGAAGCTTTAAGAAGCTTTTATTCTGGAATTTATTTAATATCATTGTCATTAAATTGATGTTGGACAGATGACTTGATTGTGACTTGAAAATTCCAAGTTAAGGACTTAGACTTCCACATCATTGACATTGGACTCGACTTGGATTTGATTGTCTTTGACTTGGACTTGAGTCGAGACTTGACTGGAAACACTTGTGACTTACTTGTGACTCGCAAAGCAGTGACTTGTTCACACCTCAGATATTTACATATAATTATATCATTGTACATATCAGTTATTGGCTGTAAGCATGCCTGATATTGGCCTACGTCTTCACATTGGTTCATCCGTAGCATTTCCTAATGTTCCTTTTTTGTACATCTAAACTTTCTATTTACAAAAATATCAAATTTGAATGATGTTTCCCTCAATTTGGGCAAAAATTCTAAGATAGATTAAAATTTTAATCTGTGGAGGATGTCAGTGTCTCTAGAGGATGAAGCAACCAATCTCCCAGCGTGGTTCATGCAAATATTTATTTATTAATCATTTAAATCCTTATCAATTTAACATTGCGTGGGTAGTGAAATTTTGGCAATAAAAAATTATGAGTTGTTGGTAAGAAAGAAAAATGTAAGGAGACGTTAGAGGCCATCATCACAAAACTACTTCAAAGAAGCAAACCTTAGTAGATCAGAATTAACTTTGACGTAATTTTTTTACAGTGCACTTCAAGCTCCTTACTCATTACTCGAGGCTCACAAGGATCTGAAGCACGAGTGTACCGAGGTGGATCCTCCTCCAACATCCTGTTAGCTACAAAACCACCAGGAACCAGAGCCGGTGGCGCTTCACTCTCAATCCCCTCCAGACGCCGGACTATCCTCTCCTTCCTGTTGGAAACAAAGTCAGACACTCGGTCCCGGATAAGCTGTCCAAGTCCATTAACAAACAAAGCCTACCTTTTCATCCCCAGATCCTTGATGGTGGACGCCTCGAATATTTTTTTCAGTTCTGACACTAAAAATATGAACAGAACTTTAAAAGTCATAGAAAAGGTTATTTAGTTTTATTTCTTAAATATTACTGCGACTCACCCTTGGGAAGGACGACCAGAAGCTTGGCATCTGTGTCTGAAACGCTCTTGACCAAGGCGCTCTTGTCTTTCAAGGAGAAGTCACTCTGAAAACTTAAACAACGCAAAGTCCGAATTTGAATTCATCGTTTACTGTAAACCGACTCCTACAACAAATACATCTGACTCTAAAGGTATCAACAGATGAAGTGACAACGGTTTAAATTTAAATTAAATACAAGCCTAATTGTCTTAAAGAGGTGATGGCAGGTAAGCTACAGATGAAGTTCAGCAGATGTTGTTGCCATCAAGATCTAAATTAGGAAGTAAGACATTAAATCCTGGGAACAGGATGCTATATGTTGTTGCCTAGCAACATCAACAGGCCAGACAGGTCAGGAGGAACAAAATCATCTCCAATTAAATTTTTCCTCTAAATGTTTTCAGAACTATCTCATTACACGCTCACCTTAAGGCGTCTGTTGGAAGGGAGGTTGAGGTGGAAAGCTTCGTGGGAATTGGAGGTTCAAACTCTGAGGAGAAACAAGACGAATCAACAAATTAGTGATTCAACAAACGTTTTTGTCCTAAGGTAAAAATACAAAAATGGTATATGCATGCCATATAATACATATATTAATATATGCCAAAAATTAATCATATTATTTAGACTTTAAGTGCCACAAAATTCTCACAGGATGTGTTAAAACAATTTTAGTCCAAGAGAACCAATAATGTGTATAAGCTGGATGTCATTAAACAGCTTCGTTCAGTTCCTGTAATATTTCAGCCGTTTAGCCTCCAAACTAAACGAGCTGCTTGAAACAGAAGTAAGAGAAAATTCAAACGTTTAGAATCAAATGAAAAATATCCCACATTTAGGTTGATCCCCCTCTTCTGACCCAGTTGAAGATCACTACTTCTTTTTCTTTGCATTTTGTTCTTTTTTGGGTTGATTAACAAAACAAACAATGATGACACAATGATGGCAGTATGCTGAAATGAGCATAAATATGTCATTAAATTTAGCAGCAGAGGCATGCAGAGCTGCAGACATGTTAACAATATTGAGAAATCTCTGATTGGGATCTCTGTCCTGCAGCTGACCACGGCCAGGCTTTCTATTGCTAAACACGTCCCTGTTACCCCTGAAAGTCGGGTCAGATGGTGAAACTTTGAATACTGCGTTTGCGAGCAGCAGGTGGTTATTTTTCACATTCAAATTCCGACACGCAGCTCAACAAGCTGAACTGGCACATTGTGCCCTCTGTGTTTGTCCATCACACTCCTAGCAGAAAACAAAATCTTAAAAGTGCATGAAGAATGACATCCAGTGGTCACTTTTGGGTACTGCAGTCCGTGAGTCAAAACAAACATGTTGCCAGTTACGGATCAGCACCGGAGGATTCTACATGACAATCAGAAAAAAGTCACATACAGGAAATCCGGGCGTACACTGTCCGACTTTTTCATTTTAGCTTGGACAAAACCTGCTTCTTATTGCATTCTGAGCCACCCTGTTTTTGTCACAAGCCGCTCCTAAAGGTAGCTGTCCTCCACAGTCCCCATGTGACCTGAGCTTCAGCTCTAAGAGGGAAGCTCCTGGAGCTCCACTGATTCTGTTAACAAAAGCAAAACTGTTTTATTATAGCTGGTCGGAGCTCAGCAGTAGCTCCCCACATGATCATGACCCCACCCTTTGTGACATAATCTTCATTCACAAGTCAGGCGTTATGGTAATATCACTACCAAGCTTGGCGTAATGCCACAAATTTCCTGCATCACCGTGGCGGCACGGCACATTCATCAGACACACGGTGGTGGCAGTATTTAGCTGATTTGCCAGCATGTGTGTTTACTAAAAAGGGCTGATGTAACCTTCCTTCCAACATGACTGAGACATTAGACCTTTTGTGAATAAGAGTATAAAACTCTTACTTACATATATGTCATGTGATGTTTTAATCTCCTACAAAAGGACGCAAGAATACCATGCAGGTAAAACCAATCTTATTTACCTGAAAACAGCACATTTCTGTATTTATTCCCATGCCTTTAATGCAATTATATGTAAAATCTGCAAACAATTTTCATTGCAACTTATAAAACACTTAGCATGAACAAACTGAGTTTTCAAGAGAAGCTGCTTGCCTTTTCTTTGACCAAACATCATCTGTCAGGACATTTCCAACCAAAGACCACCTGAAAAGGTTCCCAGCTGATCGCTGATCCTCTCACACTTGTGTCAAAACTATCACAGATCAGATATCTTCTCCAGAACCCATCAGGATGCACAAATCCTGTTACACATCACGTGAACTCCTCTGTAACATTTTCATAACCGTCACCAGTAAACACCAAACATTTGCATAATTCCCTCTCAACTACACCAACCATAAACTGCTTTTTAGCTGTGTGTGACTTCACTTCCTCCACTGGAAAGCCCCCGGTACAGATGTCAGTTCAGCTTTCCCTGGAAACGTCCGCAGGTTGTCAACACAACAAGTGGCTGAAGGCTCAAGGCGGCGGGGCCAGCGAGCGACTTAGGCTGCTGACATCTAAAAGTCAGAATGGTGTGAGAGGGATTTTCTATAAATATATAATGGTGCAAAATAGACTCCCTTAGCTCACCGGGCTGTTGCTTTCTGCAGCATGAACAGGTCTCTGCAGCATGAACGGGTCTGATTTAACGAGACAACCTGTAATGTTTGTGAAGGGGGTTCAGGATGGACTCGCTCACCTGTTAAAAGCATGAATCACCAGAAGTGCTCGAGTTAAACTGCACACAACCTGCAGGCTGATCCTAATCGTGTAACAAATCCACAAACCTTTAAACGTCATCTAACATGATCATTTCATCCAAAGTGGGTAAACAAATGCAAAACTTACAGCATGAACCTGAATAAATCAGCTCACAAAACATCATTTTGCACAAGTTTACAGAAGCTTTTAGTCCCACCACATAACGAGACTAGTCCTTGGTCCCTCCAGGCCTTACCTTGCCCATAGGGCTGCGTGTGGCTATAACTAGAGATCCATGGGTTTCGAAACATGTTTAAAGTGGAGGACAGGGAGGCGTCCTGCTGCTGGACCCCTCACGGCGCTGGTGACGACAGCGAACAGCAGCAGGGAGAGGTGAAGATGGCTAGCTGTGAGCAGACAGATAGAGGTGACATACCCACACACACACACGCGCACACACACACAGAGCTACAGCCACAAAGCAAGCACACAGACTGGAATATGTGTGTGTGCGTGTGTGTGTGTGTGTGTGTGTGTGTGTGTAAGAGAGAGAGAGAGGGAGAGAGACAGCACAGCAGGGTGCTAAAGCAGCTCAGAGGCCTAATCAGATTACAGGCAGAAATTAGCCGTGATGATAAAAACTCTGGAACAGGATTGGAGGAGGATGCCAGCAGGACTGCAGCGGGGGTGGGGGGTGTCCGGGCTCCTGGAAGTCAGATGGCTGCTCGACACACATGACAAGATGATGCCCCCCCCACCCCCCCCCACCCCCACCCCCCCAGAAAGCATGTATTTATAATGAAGTCATCCGTTCGGTTTGATAGAAAAAGCCCCTCAGACAAAATAAGTCTACCGTCATAGGCTTCCTCACGCTCATTTGCTATTTTAACAGTTCCAATCATTACACAAATGATTGATTTACAACATTAATATATAAATGTGTCTATGCCACAAGATGACCTGAGCTACAAGTTAGCAGAGGCCTGAAGATGCTGCTCACTTTTTAAAATAGCAAAAACACAAACTGTCACAGGACACGGTGTGCAGGTGGAAGACCCGATTCCAGACTTAAGCTTTTGCATGTCTACTCCTGTACTTTCTGTAGAATGTATTTGTGTTTATGTATATTTTAAACAAATAAAAAGCAGCACCGTGCTCTGTTTGTCTTTGGTGTTGCATCATCAGGTTTGCGAGCTGTGCATAAATGAAGGAAAAATAAAGTTCTACATTTATTTACTCATTAATTATACATAGCAAAACATGATTACAAATTTATTTGAACAAAACATAAAGTGAAAATGTGATGTTTTCAGATTATTGCACTTTTTATTTATGCTCTTTGGAACAATCAGATGACAATGGATGATTTTTGTGCATTTCTTGCAATATTTTATTCAGAAGGCTGACCATGTGAAGCTCTATGGAACATTTTTGAACATATACAACAGAGTTAAATGCCTTTTGGACAAATTGGGATTAAAATGTCCACTGCAAAAACTGATTTACCAGAAAGTTTTTGTAAAAGTCTAATTTTTTGACATCCATCCATTTTCAGCCGCTTATCCGAGGTCGGGTCGTGGGGGCAACAGCCTAAGCAGGGAGGCCCAGACTTCTCTCTCCCTAGCCACTTGGGCTAGCTCCTCCGCGGGAAACCTAAGGCGTTCCCTGGCCAGGTGATAGACATAGTTCCTCCAGCATATCCTGGGTCTGCCTTTAGGCCTTCTCCCAGTTGGATATGCCCAGAAAACCTCACTAGGGAGGCGTCCAGGAGGCATCCTAACCAGATACCCGAGCACCTCAACTGGCCCCTTTTGACGTGGAGGACCAGCGGGTCTACTCCAAGCCCCTCCCAGATGTCCTAGCTTCTCACGCTGTCTCTAAGGGAGAGCCCAGTCACCCTGCGGAGGAAACTAATTTCGGCCAATTGTATCTGTGATCAAATTCTTACGGTCACTACACAAAGCTCATGACCATAGGTGAGGGTAGGAACGTAGATCGACCGGTAAATTGAGAGCTTTACCTTCTGGCTCGGCTCTCTCATCACCACGACAGGTCGGTACAACGCCCGCATCACTGCAGACGCAGCACCAATCCGCCTGTCGATCTAACGCTCCGTCTTTCCCTCACTCGTGAACAAGACCCCGAGTCACTTAAACTTCTCCACTTGAGGTAGGACCTCGTCCCTGACCCGGAGAAGGCATTCTACCCTTCTCCGACTCGAGACCATGGTCTTGGATTTAAATGAGCTGATTCTCATCCCAGCTGCTTCACACTCGGCTCCAGTGAGAGCCGGAGATGACGTTCTGATGAAGACAACAGGACCGCATCATCTGCAAAAAGCAGAGACTCAATCCTCAGGCCACCAAAACGGATCCCCTCAACACCTTGTCTGCAGTTAGATATCCTTTCCATAAAAGTTATGAACATGTTTAGAAATGTTGTCTTATTTTTAGTCTAAAAAGAAAACAAATTATTCTCTAGAAAAATAGCTTTACATAAAATAAGTTCAATTTTGTAAATATGATCCAAAGTTTCTTGTTTTTACTAAAGAAATCTGCCAAAGATTCGACAACATTTGCTGATAGGCAGATTTCTTTACTCAAAACAAGAAGCTTTGGGTCATATTTAAGAATAATGACCTTATTTTAAGTGATGTTATTTTTCTGGGAAAGCATTTATTTTCTTTTAGGACAAAAAACAAGAAACTGTCTAAAAATTAGGCGTTTTAACTTTCTTAGAGATCAGTTATTGTATACAGCCAGACACTGATGTGGAGGATGTTTAGGACCGC